CAGAGAACATGTGAGCAACTCTAAACTTCAGACAGGCGCTGCAGGAAAGGTTACGGCGGGTGGAAACTTCCATTCATTAATTAGTAGTGTGCATCTGCTGCAGCCAGCTTGCAAAAAGCTCATCGCAGCTTGTGCAGCCTTGTAAAGCTGTAAGCCGTGGCATGCGGTAGTCGGAACCCAAGAAGGTCGGCTGTGGGGAGCTTGCAATAAGCTCTTCGCAGTTTGTGCGTGACAGACATTCATCAGAGCCCGATTTTGCTACAAACTCATCGGGCTGTACAGAGCAAGGACACATGCGGCTCATGCTGGCTTGCAGTGATGTTCCTGGAGATCCATGGGAAATGCTTCCGTGCTAGAAATATCAGAACGTGGTGCAGAGCCGAACCAACTCATTGCCTGCAAACGCTTCCCGCGCCTGGCTGCTTGTGCTGTCTTGTTCCTTTTCCTTCATGCTCGTCATGACAGGCTCCGGCCAAAGCATCGCCAGGCGAAAGGCAGTGCCGGAAGTTTTGTGCTAATGAGTTCAGCCTAATTTCCATCTGCGTGTCGGTGCTAATTCCCTTGTTATTCATTCCTGTTTTGCCCCTGCTGTGGCAGGCTGCCCGGTCCTGGTCTACACATGGCCAGGCGCGCCGCTGCATTCACCAGGGCAGGTGCCAGACTCTGGCATTCTGTGCCACTGAAATGTAAAGTATTGACTGGGTGAGATGCCAACATGTGTGTTCTCTCCCTCCTTCATTTGCACTCCTTGCTGCACTGGCAGGTGTTCGTTGATGTACATCGCCCGGCGAAAGCCTCAGAAACCACAGGCTTCGGCTCATGGCAAGTTGGGCACATCTTCTTAACTGACTTGAGCCTGCAGCCAGTCGACAGTCAAGGGTGCAGCAGGAAACGCCACAGTAGCATGAACAAACAAGCCACACAAAGTCGTTGACCGTATCATTATTTTCAATCGCTGTTTGTTTTCTGCTCGCCATGGGCAAGCGCTCATTGGAGGACCTCTTTGATGGAAATGCGCTGGGCAAGAGGGCTGTGCAGCGAGTAGAGCCTAGCGGCAAGAGATCAAAGCTAGATGTCTCGAGTCGAAATGCAAAATCGCGACCCCCAGCTCCTTCCATGAAGCGAGCCAAGAAGAATGAGAGCCGGGCAAGTTCCAAACCTGGCCCAAGGCTGGCCTCCACAAGCAAGAAATCCGCTGGTTCCCTTCCAAAAAAGCAGGGCGAGGCCTCCATGATCGAAGACATCCTGCAGTGGACAGACAAAGAACATTCGTGGCACCACAGGGCACCTCAGGAAAAGTGCCCTAGATGTCGCTGGAGCCGCTTCCGCAAAAAGTGGACTGCAGAGTTTCTTGCTGTGAATAGCAGGAATCATTAAGCCCTCTTCTTTTCCTTCCGTGCCTGAAGCGTTCAATGTGTGCAGGCTTGGTCAGATGAAATTCAGCACTGGCAGCGGTGCCAAGATGAGTGTGTGCTGGCTGGCAGACCAGCAGGCAGCTGGTCCCAAAAAATGGGGTCTTGGGTGCAGAATTTGCGCCTATGCTCTTTCCACAGCGAAGTCGCAGAGCGAACAGCGGAGGACCAGCAAGTCCTCCACGGCATGGGCTCGTTTCGAAGTCAACAGCTGCAATAGCATCAGCGCGTGGTCGCTGCGGCAGCATGTCCAGCAGAACTGTCACAAGCGGGCAGTGCAAAAATGGTTTGCTTTTGATCGACCCGAAGCAGAAGAGGTGACTGGGTTGACTATGATTGAAACCATGTTGACGTGAGGCTTGGATTCCACGAGAAAGTTGACATTATGACAGGTGGACATACTCGAAACCTCCCGCGAGGACGAGATGCTGCTGAAAGGTGCTGTCCGAATCTCAGGAAAATGTGACAGCGCAGCAGCCTGGCAGCTTCGCCTGACTGAGGTTCCGCAACCTCGGGACTGGCTCATGCTCTGGCGGTTCCTGAAAACGCCCGCGTCCTTCAAGGCTGCTTCCCTTTACCAATCGACGTCCGAGTATCTCCGGCGTACCAATTCTCGAACTCGAGACCCGTCAGCCTCGGCGCTGTCCTGCATGGTAGACGTGATGGCTGAAGTCGAGCGCAAGAAAACAAGAAAGCTCTTGGATACTGCAGAGTCGATCAGTATAGGAGTCGATGATCGCAAGCACTATCGGCTGTTCCGCGCACGGCTGGCCTTCGCCGAGGACTAACTTTCAACATGTCTTGCGCGCAGTTTGCTTTAACTTTCATGCGGTGTGCCC